TCACCGCCATCAGACTCCCAAATCCAGAACCACTAATATACCAACGTCTCACTTAGTGTTCTTGAGAAACAAACCTCCAATAATGAGGTTAGACTACAAACAATCAGCCTGATGATGTCCAGTCTGACATCCCACATCTGTGTAGTGTGTAGGAGTAGAAACATCACATCTGTCCAAAGCACATTCTTGGTGTTTGTAACAGTAGTTGCCAATACTCTGGGACGAATTGAACAAGTTTTCACACAAAGAAATAAATTAAAAACTGGTCACTGACACACTGACGTTAACACAATCGCACAATTATCACCAAGCGGTCATATACACACTGAAGGGATCCCCCGGATTTGTAAACACAAAGGCACACATGGCCGGTAGTCAGTTGGTTAGGAGCGTGGGGTGTAATAACGCCGCAAGGGTCCGGTCGACACCGTACGGGCCACAAAGCTTTTAAATCAACACTCATTCAGTCACTAAGCTCTTCAGTAGAAGCTGTGGTGTCTATGGGACCAGTGTGGTTTTATAATCCTGTGCTGTGAATGGAGGAATATTGAGGTTCAGACAGTGTGTGTCTGTTCAGCCTCATCGCTCTGGGATGTTTTCCCATCTTAAAAAACTAAAACTGACATGAGGCAGGGTTCCCGCTCTTTTTAATTTCCAGGACCTGGAAAAGACCCAGAATTTCTAGGAGGCGTTGGCTACAGTTTTCCTCCCACTACAACACAATAACCACAGCCCAGAAACACTTTAAATCAAGTAGAATTTATCGTATTTCACAGAAATGTAGGTAAGAAGATAAAATACAATTATTTCCAGGATTTTTGGTCATTTTCATCAAATTCAAGGTGTTTCAATGGAAACTGGAAAACCACTGATCATGACATCCCCTGCGGTTGGTTTGAAGCTGGATCTGCTAGACCGCTCTATAATACACTAAAGTTTAGTCTAATCAGGGACCTCCTGCTGCTTCTGCCGTCTTTTTCTGATTCATTTCAGACTTGTTGGAAGTGTTACCAAGTCGCTGTCGGACACATATTGGCTGACAGACAGCTAAAGCAGAAGTGTAGCAGTAGCAGTAGTAGTATCTGCAGTATCTGCAGTATCTGTGTTACCCAGGAACTGCTGTCGCTCGGCTCGTCTCTTGAGTGCGGCTCTCAGGAGGTCGGGGGTCACATCAGGAAGCTCAGCAGCTTCTCTGTAGGTGTTGATGGCTTTCTGCAGCATGTCGTTACTGCGCAGCTTCTCAGCCAGGTCGTCCTCGGCCTGCCACACACACACACACATTATTATAACAGGGTTCAGATCCAGTATCAGTATCAGTGCAGTAGTGGTTCCCTGTACTGTACCTGGGCCTTTCCGTAGCGAGAGCGGGGGCTCTGTGGGTGCCGCAGCACCAGAGTATCAAACGCTCTCAACGCCTCCTCCAGCTTACCCTGATAGACAGATAAATAAAAAATAACTGAGAAGAGCTCAAACTAACTATTCTATAAAAGACACTGGTGCAGCACGAGTTCACCATTAGAAAGACTCGATATCTGTACCACGTCTGTACCTTCTTGCGAAGCTTTTCTGCAGCGTCGATTTCTGCTTTAATGGTTTTGTCCAACTTATTCAATAGTTTTGGTTTCTTCTTCTTTGCTGGAGGAGAGAGAGAAAAGAAGAGGCAATGATAGATAGATAGATAGAT